TAGAGATAAGGGCAAAATAGTTTCTGCCTGGTAGGGAGGGGTAAGGGGGGAGAGGGAGGGAGTGGGGGGAAAAGGAGGGTTCGGGCGGGGGAGGGAAGGGGGAGAAATGACCCAATCATTGTATGCCTATATAAATAATAGAACAAAATTAATATATATAAAAAAAAAAGTGGGGCTTACACTTCTATGTGTATCACCCTGCAAGACAACATGAGGGCATTCTAGAGAGGATGTGTTTCCACAGTTTAATACTTAATCAATGCCTTTGACCGCTAAAGTACTGACTCTAAAATAAAAGGTATATGACTCAGGGGGAAATGGTGTGTGAGAACTTGATTACACATACGGAGTTATTTGTGTTATTAGATTGTTTCTCTTTTTAACTGGTAATAAACGTACAATTTAAATCTACATACATTTTCACCTAGTAAAAACTAAAGATCATTTGCTTTTTATCCTTCAAGAGTGTGAAATAAAGACCTAAATACTTTATAGCTCCAAATACAGATGTGTCACCTGAATATGTAATTTTTTATTTTTATTAGCATATATTGTACAAAATTACAGGTTTCATCATGGTGTGTTCACAGATGTATATTATATACTTTTATCATATTCATCTCCTCTACTACTCTCTCGCACCCACCCTCCACTGGTTCCTTCCTCTTCTGAAGTAGTTTCCCTTCTGCTTTTTAAAAGATAGCACCACTCATAAGCTTTTTTTCTTGTGAATCACACACTGACTCATAGAACTGTGCTCACCTCCCTTCATTTCTCTTAAGTCAGATGCAGTGATAAGTAATGAGTAAATATTATGCATGCATTTTCTTTCTCTCTGAGTTTTGTTTATTTTGTTCTAGGTTATTATGTATTAAGAAATAGGAGTTTCTAGCTAAGTGTGGTGGCTCACACCTATAATCCTAGCTACTTGGGAGGCAAAGATCAGGAGGATTGTGGTCAAAGGCTATCCTAGGCAAATGCTTGTGAAACCCCCATCTCAACCAATAAATGCTTGGCGTTACAGCATGCACCTGTCATCCTAGCTAGGCAGGAAGCATAAAGAGGAGGATCACAGTCCAGGTGGCCTGGGCATAAACATGAGACCCTATTTCAAAAATAATGAAAGGAAAAAGAACTGGAGGAATGGATCAAGTGGTAGAGCACCTGCCAAGCAAGATCAAACCCCAAGTTCAAACCCTAGTACTGCAAAATTAATTGACAAATTAAAATATAAGCGCTTCTAAAATGACAATTTAAAAAGTGACCTTTTTGGTATTACTTTTCAAGATTACTCTTTAAGCTATAAGATTATTTAAAACACACATTTTAGTACTTTTTTGCTGAAAACGAAAATGAACATCTTTCTGTTCCTTCTTACTTGTTCATTGCCTGTTACTTCCTCAGCAAACATGTAACAAATGTCCACTGCACGCTAGGCATCATACTAAATACCAGAGAGGAAAACTTGAACAATGCACACTGTTTTTCCTTAGCGTATCTAGGCTAGACATGTGGCCAGATGCCTGCCATAGGTCCTGATTGATTCTGTGATTGCACTATGAACACTGGGCTGTTGGTCACAGCAAGGGGACTCAGCAGAGAGAAGTCAGGGACACCTTAAAAGTGGAGATAACACTTGAGTTGCATCTGGAAGGAGAGGTAAAAATTCACTAACAGAAATAAAGGAGGGCATTCAAACCCCAGTGCCAACCCCCCCAAAAAAAAACTGGAGTGTGTGGCTCAAGTGGTATAAAGTGCCTACCTAGCAAGCACAAAGCCCTGAGTTCAAACCCCAGTACTACCAGCAATAAAGGAGAGGTGCTCTCCAGACAGTGTGTTTACACACACAGAGGTAGTAGGTGCCAAGAACCTGTGGTTTGGGGAATGCACCAGGAAGTTTGCTAGGGAGGCTGGAGAGGGATGCTGGCATAAGACTGTGATGGGTCTCGGAATGCACCATTCTAGTGAAGAAATTATTCAAGAATTTCATCAACTCTAGAATCTGTTTATTAGCTTTCAGAGTTCATGAAACTGAAGTTATGGATATGATCTTAGGGGAACACGCATGGCTAGACTTCAATTTTAACCTCAGCTAGCATTTTAAAATGTGTACTCTAGTCACAGGTGATTAGATGGGAATGGAGTTGCATCAGTCTCCACCCTTAGCAACCACAGGAAAAAATGCTACATGTGCTAATTCAATACAATACAATCAGCCCTCTGTATTCACGGGTGCTGGGCCTCAACCAAGTGCAAATGGAAGATATTTGGGAAAAAATATCTATATTGAGCATGTGCAGACTTTTCTGTCATTATTCCCTAAATACTACAGTATAACAAGTATTTGCGTAGCACTTGTATTGGGTATTGTACGTCACACAATGTGATTTGAAGTACGTGGGAGGATACGTGTAGGTTATACATGTACTGCACCGCTTCATACAAGGCTATTGGGTGTCCTTGACTTTTGGCGTCCCCCGGGGGAATCCTGGAGTCCCCCATACATAGTAAGGGAAGGCTGCATTTATTGAGTACCTGCCAGGTGCTCTACTAGGTGCTGGGAGACAGGCCTTGCTGCCTAGTGGAAAGCCAGCCACCTTCCTGAAAGTTCTTCTCTTCATTTTCTCCCACATGCATCAAACACTTAACACATCCAGATCACTCGGATTCTTCTCTTCCCCCAGTCTTTCTCATCTTTTTGATACCTGAGACTCAATCCAGAGTCTACAGGTCATGCTGCCACATCTTCATCAAGTTGTGTCATTTCTATCCTAAAACATACCTGGACACCTTTCACTCCTGCACTCCTCTCAGCCCCCTACCAGCACCCAAGCTATCACATCTCTTGCCAGTAGACTCCTAACTAGCCTCATTTTACAGTTTTGCTTCCCCCAATCCTTTTAACAAGAAATAACCTGAGAGATCTTTTAAAAATCAAAATTACACCAAGCACCAGTGGCTCATTCCTGCATTCCTAGCTACTCAGGAGGCAGAGATCAGGAGGATTGTGGTTTGAAGCTAGCCCAGGCAAACAGTTCATGAGACCTTATCAAAAAATCCCAACAGAGAAAGGGCTGGCGGAGTGGCTCAAATGTTAGAGTTCCTCCCTAGCAAGCCCTGCGTTCAAATCCTAGTACCAAAAAAAAAAAATGCCCAATCATATCACTTCTCAATTCAAACCTCTTATTGACTTCCTGTTGCAGATTAAGTAAATCCCCAATTTTTTTCACAAGGGCCTGTGAGTTCTGGCCCTGCCTCCCATACAAACCTTGCCTCTCTCTCACTCTGGGTCTTGCTCTTGCTCTTTCTGGCTCACTTGATCACTTGCTCAGTGTTACTGTGGATTGAACTGAGGGCCTCCATTAACCTGCTTAACTGGCAGGCACTCCACCACTTGAGCCTTGCCCCCAGCCCTTTTTGTTTTAGGTGTTTTTTACATAGGGTCTTGCATTATTCCCAGGCTGGCCTATTCTGCAGTCCTCCTACTTAGGCTTCCCTTGGAACTGGGATGACAGGCTTATACCACCACAGCAAGCTTTTATTAGTCAAGATGAAGTCTTGTGAACTTTTTGGCTCCCAGGTAGCCTGGCTTCTCTGTCTTGCTCATTGTGTTCCAGCCATGAGGCCTCTTTTTGTTTTCACACTTTTTCACCCTGTGGCCTTGGCACATGCTGCTTTCACTGGACTGCTCTTCTTCCCATCCTTAGCCAGTTACTGTTAAATGGTTTAGATCTTAGCTTAAATATCTTCTTCCCTACCAGGCGCTCCTTCACCAGTCTATGCTACAAGAGATTCCAGGTCCCTCTTCCACAACCTTTCATTCCTCCTTCATCATACATGCTACAGTTATGCATCTGTGTGTGTGTGTGTGTGTGTGTCTGTGTCTACAGTTGAGCCTGCACAATGACTGTCTCTCACCAAGCTAATATTTCCTTTGGAACTGGAGTCATGTCTGTTCTCCTTCACTATGTCCAGAGTTTAATACAATGCACATAATAATAGGTCTTAAAAAGTTATAAAGGAATCATTGAAAACATAAATCTAGATTGATTTTTTTAGCTTATAAATCTTTAACCTCAAATAAGGAGAACATGGAAAGTTTAAGAAAATTACATATCATTTCTAAGCTATTAGAACTATTTTAGGAAAGTTATAAGGCTCAGTATCAGTTATGTCACCCAACAGAAAAGGTTACATGTGGTTATTACATGATTTGGTGCTATTTTTAAAACAGTGATAACTTTTTTAATGGACATACAGCATTATAAAAATGAACTGGTCTTTTTATATGTTTAAGGCTCAGTTCACTAAAATGTTTAAATTCTTGGCTCTGCTCCTTAAACCTACTACAAAGATCACATTAGAATTCATTTTAATAGACATTGTAAGCACAGTCCCCAATCTCATATCATCACGCTGGGCTCTTTTATTATAAGAGTCACAGGAAGCTGAGCCTGAGGCTGCTGAGCACGTTGTGGGGTGTAGCCAGGGCTGGGGATGGTGCCAGCTCTATTGTTTATGTGATAGTCTCTCCACCTTTATCTGCACTGTGCAATTGGTATTGACTTTTGAGAAACTACTTCTCTGACCCCATCTCCCAGTTGGAAAAAAACCTGCTGAAATGACATCTGGCTAGGAAAAAAGGGATCAAAGAAGCATAAAGAAAGAAAAATTTTGAGACCTTGTTTAATAAGTAGCTGTGTGCCTATCCTTTAGCTCTGTTAGAGGGAGAGTTGGAAAGTTTTTCAAGGTCACTATCCCTTTATTCCTTGAAAAAGCTCAGTGAACCTAAGGGCGTCTATGGTTTTCACTGTTGATTGCTAGGGTTAGATTTACTTAGCATGTAGTAAAGCATCTTTTTTTTTTAAACTTTATTCAGGAGTATATACCATTCATGAAACAGATAAAACTGGGTTATTTGTGTTATTTATCACTGTTCATGTCTTTTTTGTTTTTTCAAGCTAGTCATCTTTGGTGAATTGTTTTTTCCCAACTTCTAGGTATATTACTTGAGGAGTTTTTAAATATTGTTAGGAAAAAGAAGGAAGCTCAAGTGTATCGGAATGAGATAAGACACATCTTCACGGCTTTTGACGTGCACTGTAAGTGTCTTTAAAGTGTTTAAAGTGTTTTGATATAAAATTGCTACTGAGGGGTTGGGAATGGAGGTACATACTCAGTTAATCAAATATACAGTATACTTGGAAGATTATTTTGCTGAATTCTTCAGCTATTACCTTAGTGTTAGTGGGAATGTTTTTCTCCATTGTGATCTGAATTTCTTGGCTTATACCATGGATGAAATAATATTTACAGTAGTACAGAGTACTTTTTTATTGTACCTATATTGTAATGGTGACAGCAGAGGACCAACCATGTGTGGCTGTGGAAGTGTGGGAGACTGCACCCTCCTCCTGCAGCTCCTGCTTTGACCCATGCATGACTGGAGGGGTTGCTTCCCACACTGGGTGTGGCTGAGAGGGGTGACTGCAGACCCCACACTCCACACAGGATAAAAGGATTCAAGGACTCCAAATTCAGTATGTTGGCTGCTGTGGTGATTTCCCCCTAGATATTAATATAAGTCTAATACTAAGCAAGAAAAGAAAAATGAATCTTGAAGATTAAAATGCTGGGGCAATTCACAGACTCAAAGCCTAATGCCATTATGACATCACATGTCTGTATAGTCCTTTCCCTAGGACTTAGAGAATCAGCACAATGGCAGGGCTGTATGTGACCTTGGAGTGCCTATGCACTGAAGGGGAAATACCACTAAATTCTTATATTCTTCTAGTGAGAGCATGTCAGATCAACTTCTGTATAAGATCAACTGTAAATTAATGCTTTTCTCCTAATAAAAATAAAATAAATATTCTGGCTGAAGAATAGTCTATAGGGTTTATAGAAATAAGTGAATATATTTTGCTTTTATAGATCGTGGATTCTTGACTTTGGAGGATTTCAAAAAAGCATTTAAACGGGTGGCTCCCAAATTACCAGAAAGGACTGTGCTCGAGGCATTCAGGTAAAGTTCTAAGATCTGTATGTTCATCCACCCTTTGACTTTCTGTCTATTTTTGCAAGTTTTCAGTTTTATGGAGAACTCTTAATTGTGTTGGTTTTTTGCTTTTGGACATTTCCATCTCATAGCCCAGTTTCATGATGCAGGAGAGAAATCTGCAGTTTGCTATGAGTATAGCCACACCTTTGACTAGGGCTCTTAAGGAGAGGAGCAGGCAGAAAGCAAGAACTTTATGTATTTACATATGAACCAAAAAAAAAAAAAAGAACTTTTATTAATATCCAGCACAGACACTAGTATTCTCCCGTGTATGTTTGTCAGACACAGGTTATACGTGTTTCTTGAGTTGTGTGGTGAGAAAAGGTGAAAGTGCCTAATGGGAGTCCCCCCCTTCATTTGCAAACTGTTGGCACAGGCTGCAGTTCACATGTACCTGATGAAGTGGATGTACAGATTATATTATGTAGGTTTTTTGGGCAGTACTGGGATTTGAACTCAGGGCTTCACACTTGCAAGGCAAATGCTCTACCACTTCAGCCATGCTTCCAGCCCCTATTATGTAGTTCTTAAGAACTAACCCTGGGCTGGCAGAGTGGTAGAGCACCTGCCTAGCAAGCATGAGGCCCTGAGTTCAAACCCCAGTACCACCACAAAAAAAAAAAAAAAAAAAAAAAAAAACTTAAGAATTAATCCTGACACAATGGGCAAGTGGCCAAGGAAAGTTTCTGTTACGAGCCTGCAGATTGGAGGTAATATTAACAGTATAGGTGCACATGAACATGAGGAAATGGCAGGGCTGTCTCTTCTCTGACATTTAGCATGAGCTAGTCATCAAACATTACCAGCTTTGTTAGTTAGGGTTCAATATACAAGTGAGCCAGAAAGCGTCAAATACTAAAAGCTCAAAGAAGACATAGGTGTATTTCTCTGTAAAGATAGGCAGCCTAGGGCTGAATGATGACAGCATAGTTCTACAACACCGGGGTTCCTGCTTGCTTGTTACTACGGCTGCTTTAACACCTTGCTTCTCCTTCTTGCTTCAAGATGGTTGCTTAAGTTATAGCCATCAAATCTGAATTCTTTTTTTTTTTTTTTGATGGTACTGGGGTTTGAACTCAAAGCCTCATGCTTGCTAGGCAGATGTTCTACCACTTGAACCACATCCTCAGTCCTTTTTTTGCTTTAGTTATTTTTTAGGTAAGGCTTTGTGTCTTTGCCTGGGGCCAGCTTCAGACCTTAAAACTTTCTACCTATGGATTCCTGCATAGCTGGGATCACAGGTGTATGCCACCACTCCTGCTTACTGATTAAGAATGGGATCTCACTAACTTTTTACCTGGGCTGGCCTTGAGCTGTGATCCTCTTGATCTCTGCCACCGGAGTAGCTGTGATTACAGGTGTAAGCAACCATATCCGGCTATTCCCCTTCTTTTAAGGTTATATATTATTCCTTTTAGTATCCCACTGATGAACACCTAGCTTCTGTGAGACAGGGTGGAGGGACTTAGAGCTGGGCAGGTACATCCCACTAGCAGAAGTTCTGAAACAGAGTAAATAGAATGGATACTGGGTGACACCAGGCAGATATTGTCATTGAGAGAAAATTAATTTAATGAAATCCGACCAGAAGCCAGTCCTGCACAGTAGAAATGATCAGACAGGTTATTTGAATAAGGATTTACATGCATTACCATTAACAGTGATATACATGAAATTCATTAGTTGCATCGCACACAAGCAGATGTTGAGCAGGGTCCTGAAGAAGGGCAAACATGTTAACACCAGAAGCATACAAAGTGCTACAGGGCAGTATGGCCAAACCAAAGGATTTTAGGTATTCAAACATGCCTTGTTTAAATTCTGAGTTGTATTTTTAAATTATATGAGTCCCAGAGAAAAGATGAATAAAAGTACTAAATGAAGTTGTGAACTTAAACAGAAGAGGAAAATATTTCCTCTTTGTATAAATTGAGGTAGGCCAAAGAAATAAAGACATGTCACACACACACCTGTTTCAGTGGTGCAAATGGTTTTCAAGACTAAGAAAACAATCAGCTAGTGAGACTGTCAGCAATGCAAAATCTCATATTCCTAAGTCACTTTTGAGAAGCTGGAGTTCATTGCCCAGGCCCATGGTTACCTAGAAGAGTATCTTCTTACAGACACTCTGTAAGAAGGCAGCTAGGAAGAGGGAATTTGAGCTGAACTGCAGTCTTCTGTGATTTGAATGACTGAAAAAAATTCATCTTTATAATCTTGTATTCAGTCATTGCCAGGTTCTTCCCAAAGAAATTTCTAAAGATCAAGAGGAGTCTCTTTCAGAAGTATTCGCCCAATCACAATAAGACCAACCAAACAAATAAACAACAGAAAGAAATAATGAAAAGAGACTTGGACATCAGGCATCAATCATTGTACTTTCTAACTTGCTTGCTGCATTGACGCTATCATTCATTCATTCCAAGTGTTGCAAGAACTAAATGGGACACTGTTTTAAGGCTGGTGACTTGCCTGACTATTCTAGCAGTGTTTACTTTAGTGATTTGATCATGAGTAAAAGCAATGTGATTTTTAAATGTATACACAGTCAGGGTTCCTAACATTCACCCTGTGTTCTGCCATCACAGGCTTCTCTTGTTGTCATCTTAGTTCTCTGGTTAAATTCATTCAGAGCTCATTGCTAAGCCATGTGGCATAGTTTTTTTTCTGAGCTGAAGTTTACCCTCATCTAGGGATCATAAGAACTGTATTCCCTGTTGTCTTTCATATTCAAAAATGATGATCTGGGCAGTTGTTCTTGATTAAAATTATATAATGGATCCAATGCCTCAAGACATTCTTGGAATCACCTCCTTTTTCTGTGAAGTGCTGGTTTATGCTTTATGTTGGAAGTCCTTTAAAATTTCCTGTCAATTTCTACATTAATTACTTGTTTTGCTTACCATGCCTCTTGGTAAGTTTTCTGCAGTGTGTGATATTTGTGCTGTGTCCAATGTGGCTTTTTTTTTTTCTGTTTTGGTTTCATTTTCCTTTTAGGTTTCTTTCTTGAGTTCTATCTGCTAATGTTTCATGTGCTTTTGTTATTTTGATATATTTTGTTACTTTATAGTAAGCCTTCCTTATATCTATGTTCAACTCTTGTTCTATAGTCATGATTGCTTTACTGAGGGAAAACAATAATTTTTGAGATGTTTCTTTTTAACAGATGATTGCTTGGGGCATGCTAATTATAACCTTGTTCATGTAAATTAATGAAAGCAAGTTTTCTTCTGAAGGAGGAGTTGTGAGGAATAATTTACTTTCTTTAATCAAAGGATACTTCATGTAAAAAAAATCCCTAAACCAAAAAGTGGTACAAATATATTTTGTTCACTATTTGAATTTCAAACTTTGAGACTCCTTTCAGTGTTTGAAACTTACAACTTTGCTTTCATCTTAGAGTCAGTTGTCATGATTTGTGTATTTATATACTAATATACCTGAGGCTGTATCAAAGGTGGTGTTTCTTTATTGTTCAGAAGTTCTCAGTTAATTCTTTTCTTCCCACTAAAATGGCAGAAGTATAAGGGCTGTTAGGGCTGAATAGTACTGTTTTTAGCTGTGGAATCAAAGATTAAAACGAGAAGCATCTTACCTCTTTAACACTAATAGAACTTGTTGAAAACCTTGTAGTGCTTTTCCGTTTTTTGAACATTTGTTGAAAAAATCTTCAGTGACTAATGAGTACAGTTAAAACTCTTTAACCTGGATCTCCAACATCTCCTTTTCCAGCCTTGTCTTTCATTAGTCTCAAACCACTATGTTTCCTTTGGCATAGTAGTTATTATTCCTTTGATTATATCATGTGCATTCATAGTTCATTCTCTTTTCCTTGCCTGGCACAGATTTTCCCTCCTCCATCCCTATCCAAATTTGAGCTTTTTCAGTCCTCTTCAACAAGACTTTTTTTCTTCTAAATTGAGCAGTCGTCTCCTTTCTCTAAATTTTGATTTAAAATAATACTTTATTACTTTAATCAGTTACTTAATTTTACTTTCTCTAAATTTTGATTTAAAGTAATATTTTATTACTTTAATCAGTTACTTGATAAACAAAAATACAATGTTTATGGTTATCTCCATAAAACACCACTAGCTCTTTGAATTTATAGATTTACCTCCACTGTCTCTGGCAGGTCACCTTATACACTGTAGTTATTAAATAATTGTTGGTCTGTTGTCACTTAACTCTGAATACCTAGTGATAGTAAAATTGTCAAAGTTTTCATCATGGTTTAATTTATTTCTTATAAATTTGGAAAGAGAACTTTAAATTGCAATCAGGAACTTTAGAGCCATGTGTGGTTTCATTTTCTGTCCTCTCTGTCTACATGTGATTTTCATGAATTAATCTCTGACTGCCTCTCTCTGCTTTAGTCTGGGGATTTTCAGTTCATGGTTTAGCCTCAGCTGTCATCAGGGAGCTGCTTAATGTTCTTTTTTGACTTTGCCTGCCGCCTGCACCCTGTGTGTTTCTGGCTGGCGTTTTTCTCTGCATGGGTATGCTAACTTCTCCATGCCTAGAGGCCTTCTCCATCTTATTGTGAACACTGATATTTGTACATCCCCACCACCTGTCATCTGGCACAAAGCTCTGGGAAGCGTCTTCTGCTTCTCAGCCATGAAATGAAAAAGTGAATTGTGCAGGGGACCAGCGCCCTGCCCCTTCCTCACCCCCAGGATTCTGAGTGCACTGGCAGATGGACACAGACTAATGTGCTCTCCAGTCTGCATGAAGACAAAGTTGTGTCCTGATATTTTTGGAGTGAAAATCCCCTTCATGTTACATGGAGGAAGTTCAAAGTACACAGAACATTGACCTCTTCTTTTGGGGGGGTATTAAAAATTGGTTGAAAATAAGCATGTTGTTGAATAGTATATTGTCAATGTCAGAGTGTTAGTAGGGGTGGGGGTTTAGGAATGCAATTTTGAAAGGGAGTGATGGTATTCTCTTGGTGGAAAAATTGTATATGCCTCATACCGCAGTCATTAGAGAGGAGCTGGAATAAAATGAACTAACAGACACTTCCATTATGCTGAATGAAAGAGTCTTATGGAGCCAGTGGACCTGAAGGAGAGTGATTTAAGACAGCATTTATTTCTTCAAATCATTTACATCTCTTTTGAAATGTTGTTCCTCACTGTGCTCTTTAGCTTCCCATCATTCCTTTCTGCATGCAG